AAGTTAAGTTTGCAGCCCCCTGCCCGGGGGGGGCGGGGGGCTGCAAGCTCAGGATCCGGCACCGCAGCGTGGGGGGGAGGCGGGTCGCGGTTGGGGGTGTGTGTGTGATGCATAGGTGCTGCCTTTTGGGATGGGGGCTTTTCTTCTTCGCTGCCTCGCAGGGCGACTCCAAATCCCCTTTTGTAGTTACTGCCCGGGGAGAGCATGCGGTTTTTGCGGGCGCGGAGCAGAGCAGCCAGCCCGGGGTTTTGGGGATGCAAAGCGCGCTAATGCTGTGATGCCTGGGAATGCAGGACTTCACCAAGGGGTTTGTGCAGCAGTCCTCCGGCTGCAGGGATGTGCATCTCTGCCGAGCACTCGTGTGTGCATGTCAGCGGCTGCTGGGGTGCCGCAGCCCGGCGCACGTTGCGAGGACCTGCTGCAAGGCGCGTGGGCTGGGCGCCATGTGCTGCTGTGCAAGCAGCACGGCAGAGCCCCCTTGGCTGGCAGCAAAGCCGCTGGGCTGGGGTTGCTCCAGGTCCTGCTCAAGAAAATGCTCCGAGTTGGCTGTGGGATGCTGTGGAAGATTTCAGTAAGCGTTTCTTTCCATTCCTGCGTTAACGGAGAGCCTGGTCCAGGCAGGAGCGCCAAGAGCTCCGTGTGGAGCCCCTTTGTGCTGTCCTCCCCATCCCTGTATTTAAATCTGAAGCCTCTAGTTAACTCTGAGCCTCTCACCCCTGCTAGGTGCTAATACTGCCAGATCAACACAGTCCCTGCCTGTACTCACCAGCGCTCCCATCTGCCTCTCGGGAACAGGCTGTGGAGCTGCGGGCTGTGTGGGAAGGCAGCAGCAGCCAAGCCCTGGGGCTGTGGGATCGCAGACAAGTGAGCCTGTATCCTTGAGCCCAATAGATTCCCCAGGGCTAGGGGCTGCAGGAGGAATTCGTGCAGCTGTTGGCCACAGCTGGATGCGCTTCCCGGCTGCTCCGAAGCAGGAAGCAGCCCGACGGCCCCTTAGTTGCCTGTTGCGAGCTGACACAATTGAGGGACTTCTGTGAATGCCGACACGGGAAATCCCACTCCCCTCCTGCACCACATCCCGGCTTGGCGGCATTGTTTCCGCTCACCAGCCCCTGTGAGCTACCAGACAGCCTCGGGCTCCCTTGAGCCTGCCTTCACTACAAAGCTATCTCAGGATGTGACTAGGCAGGGATGCTTTTCTCTTGGGTTCGCTGGTTATCCAAGTGCGGCTCATGGGCCATTGATACAGTGTCAGTGCAGCGCGGACACCACATGTGTGCCCTCTGGAGCACTCCTGCTCCCACCGTTGCCTTTTGCTCCTGGAAAAGACAAGTAGGCTTGCTCTTGGCTCACCGAGAAGGTCTTCACAGAGCAGGGGTGCTTTCCGTATGGCACCGAAGGCTGTAACATAGGCTCCAGAAGATGGTTTGCAGAGTGGCTCTTCCCCCCCAGCTAGCACAAATGAGAGGCGAGGGCTGTACCAGGTACCTGGAGTGAAGAGGATGAAGATATTCACTCCAGCCTGAACCAGCAAATGTAGCGCCAGCACACAGGGCAGTGTGGCACCTCCATCCTGCAGTTGTCCCTCTTCTGCCGTCCTCCCCAAGCTGCATAATTAACTACTGGCATCATTTCCCCATCATGGCATCCTTGCTCTCATTATCTTGGGCTGGGAGGTATTAATGAGCCTCTTCCTCTTTGAAGATGAGCCATGGGCTTTGTTCTTGCCCTCGCCTGACCTGTCTCCCTCCTTGTTGTGGTCTGGGGGGGAAGCCAGGGCACGGAGGACAATGCACCCGTTCACCCACTCCCACGCTGCACCTTCTGCCTGGCTCCACTCCCAGCTTTGCTGGCAGAGGCAGGGCTGGGGACCGGCCCGTCGGGCCTGAGGGAGCCCAGGAGCACCCACCTCCTCTGTCCATATGGGAAGGCACCAGGCATGGGCTTTGGGAAGCCAACAAGCAGCCTCTGGTGCTTTCTCTAGGGCAGATGTAGATCTCAGTTGTTTTCGTCCAGCGTATGTTAACGCCAGGTCCTTGGCGAGTGTTAAGAAAGCTGCAACACCCACTCTTATCAGCAGAGTGCCAATTGCTTGCAGTCCTTGCCAGCTCAGTACTGACCCCACAGTGCAAACTCCGCTCATCTCCTTGCACCTTCCTAAGACCCCCTAGCACCTAGCTCTGCCCTGTGACTGGGGCTGCTGGGGCTGCAGGACCATGAGCTCTCGGGGTCGCATCTCCGTGCTAACTCGTACTCAGCTGCCAGCAAGCTCAGGTGCAAAGCACTGTGCAGAGTGAGCTACAGGCATTTGCAGATGGGCAGGAGTGAGGGTTTTAACAGCCACACAGCTATTGGGATTTGATTAAGCAGTGCGATAAAGACTAGGTGCTTTCTAGGTTAACAGTGTGTAAGACGTGGGATGGGGAAAGAAGCATGTGGAGTAGGGGTAGACCCTGGGTGGGTTTGGTTACATCAGGATGTGTGGTCTGGAGGGACCCCACCAACCCCAGCTGAGGTTGCAGTGCAGCACTGCACGCCATCTCCCACTCCAGACCCTGCAGACCTGGTCAGGGCATTGGCAGTACATGGGCTCTGGGGTCCCCGTGTGGGCGAGGAGCCACAGTGCTGTGTGAGGAACGTGTACAAGGGTTGTTGCTCCCATGAGACAAGAGAAGCTGTTGTGTAGGGATAGTGCTAGCCCTTTGTAACCTCATTGCTGATGCTGGTGGTGTGAAGAACATCACTGTTGTGACATTTTGGTC